GTGTGGGTCCGCAGGTGGTACTTGAGCGACTGCTTGTAGCGGAAGCACTTGGCGCAGTGCGTGCACGGGTAGGGCCGCTCGCCGGTGTGCGCGCGCTGGTGCTCCAGCAGGTGGTGCTTCTGCGTGAAGCGCTTGCCGCACTCGGCGCAGTGGTAGGGCCGCTCGCCGGTGTGGATGCGCCGGTGCTCCAGCAGGTGGTGCTTGCGGATGAAGCTCTTGCCGCACTCGGGGCAGGCGTGGGGCCGCTCCCGCGAGTGCACGCGGCAGTGGTTGGTGAGCTTGGACTTCTCGCTGAAGCTCTTCTCGCACTCGGGGCACTTGAAGGGCCGCTCGCCCGTGTGTGTCCGCTGGTGGCGCAGCAGGTGCGACGGGCGGCTGAAGCTCTTGCCGCACAGGCTGCAAATGAAGGAGACCTCGTGCTTGCCCGCGTGCACGCGCTGGTGGATCACCAGGCTGATGTGCAGCCGGAAGCTCTTCTTGCACTCGGGGCACGTGTAGGGCCGCTCGCCCGTGTGCGTGATCTGGTGCTTGGTCAGGCTGGACTTGTGGCTAAAGCTGCTGTCGCACTCGGGGCACTTGTAGGGCTTGGGGCCGCCGCCGCTGCCCGAGCTGGGCGATTTGGGGCGCGGCTTGAGCGCGTGCTTGGGGGTGAAGGCCGGCCCGCGCTCGGGCGAGGCGTAGCCGCTGCGCGCGCGGTGGATGCGCTGGTGCAGCGTGAGCTGCTGCTTGTGCCGGAAGCTGACCTCGCACTCGGAGCACTCGTACGGCCCCTCCTTGATGTGGTTGCGCTGGTGGATGATGAGGTTGATCTTCAGCCGGAAGCTCTTGCCGCACTCCATGCAGGTGAAGGGCCGCTCGCCGCGCCGGTTCCGCTGCTGCTGGCTCGAGGACCCGCGGCTCTCGCCCAGGTGGTGCCGCTCGCCGTGCGCGTGCGCGTGCCCATGCGCGTGCACAGGCGGCGCCAGCCTCTTTACCGCCGGGTTGCCCAGCTGCAGGGGCGGGGGGCTGTCCTCGCCGTCGGGGGACATCTCCTCGGGCAGCGGGGTCTGATACATACCGGCCTCGAACCTCCCAGACAGCTGCCCGAGGGACTGCAAGTGCTGCGGCAACTCGTCCTCCTCCTCCTCGTCCTCCTCCTCCTCCTGCTCCTCCGTCTTTATCACGATCCCCTCTGCCCCAGGATGGAGAGAGACAAGGAGGTTAGCGCGGTCCAGAGCCCCACCTGGCCCTTGCCATGGAGGCCGCACCTACAGCAGATCGCTGCCCAATGCCTTCTGGGAACACCTTGGGGCTAGACGTGGAACCCGGGCTGGCCGTGGGGCTGGGCCAGGCCTTAACTGGGCCAATTAGATTCCTCTCGTGGACAGCTGCAGAAAAGAACAAAGAGCCCCAGGACCTCCAGGGGGTGGGAGCCAGCCTAAACTGGATATAGTGGCGAACCCATCAAGCGTGTGAGCCAGTGAGAACCCACTTCCATAAGAGCACTTGAGGACTGGGCCTGGTCTCATCGCTTCTCCATGGCTCCCTTCTAGAGATTTCTACACCTGACTATGCTGTTTGTCCTTCCTGAACACCTCGGATCTGTCCTCATAGTGCCTTTTCCCACGCCAACATTTCCATGTCTCCCCTGGTGACCGCTCAGGCTCCTCACCAGGCCCAGGTTGCACATGCAAGACCCAGGCTTCCTGTGCGCCTCTCAGAGATGCCTGGCTCCTTAACCTGGGGTTACGCGGGTTCTCTCCATCTTTCTTCACAATCTGGGGCACACCGCCCTGCACACCCACTGCTGGCTCTTTAGGGCCTGACAAAGCCAAGTTGTACCGTGGCCCAGGAGGGTGGAGTTCAGCAGACACAGCGGCCTTATCCTGCCTTGCACTTCTTTGGTGCTCCCGAGACTTTTACCTGCGGAGCTCTATCAATTCACGGATGGTGTGCCACTTGAGAAAGTCACTCACTGCTCTAGAATCTGAATGGGAGATGAGGCAGGCTGTGTTTGCAGACTTCTTACAAACAAGAACTTCACCTGTTCTCTTCATGAGACAGTAACTAATAAAATGAAACTGCGCGAGAATTATCCTTATTCCAGATACGAAGTGATGTTTCAAAAAAAAGTCAGGCTGGGAAGGTGGCTCAGTGGTAGAGCGCTTGCCTTGCATGCATGAGGCCCTGGGTTCCATCCCTCAGCACCACTTAAGCAGAAAAAGCTCGAAGTGGTGTTGTGGGTCAAGTGGTAGAGCACTAGCCTTGAGCTGAAGAGCTGAGGGACAGCGCCCAGGCCCAGAGTTCAGGCCCCACGACTGACAAAAAAGATGAGTTTAAGCACTGTCTCCTCTACCCCTTCACTGACACGAAACTGAGGCAGGAACTGTCTCTAAGCTGGCCAAGGCCAGACTTTAGAGACACGTTGGCCGTAGCATGCTCCACTGCTTCTCTAAAGCCTAGCAACTGCAGCATTAAAAATGGGACCTAGGAGCCAGGCACTGGTGGCTCATGCCTGTAATCCTAGCTACTCAGAAGGCTGAGATCTAAGGCTTTTGATTTGAAGCCAGTGGGGTCAGGAAAATCTCTGAGAGTCTTATCTCCAATTAACCGCCCCCAAACCAGTAGTGGAGCTGTGGTTTAAAGTGGTAGAGCATGCCTTGAGTAAAAAAGTTCAGGAACAGCAGCCACACCCTGAGTAGTTCAAGCCTCACGACTAACAACCTTCCCCTCCCCCTCCCCCCAAAAAAAGGGACAAGGGGCTGGGCACCATTGGCTCACACCTGTAACCTTAGTTACTCAGGAGGCTGAGGATTGGAGTTTGAAGCCAGCCTGGGCAGGAATGACTGTGAGACTCTTATTTCCACTAACACTGGAAGAGGAGAGCAAAAGAAGTTCAGGGACAGCCCCCACGCTCTGAGTTCAAGCCCCAGGACTGGCACAAAAAAGGGAACTTAGGTGTGCTGAGGCAAGGCCTCCTCAGCAGCGTGGGTTCTGAGTCACACTTCCTCAGCAGCGTGGGTTCGTAGACCCCTTGGGGCATGGTACCCAGAAGCTCAGAAAGGAGCGGAGAGGATGCCACCAGGGAACTGGTCCCTGGCGATCTATCCTGAAAACAGAACTGTGCGTGAAGGCATGAGCCTTGGGAAGGCTAAGCTCTCCTCAAGCATTACATTGCTCTTCTCTTAATGAAATAATAAAAGCAAAACATATGGCTCTAACAGTCAAGACTCAGAATTCCACAAACTGTTTGTTTAGAAGTTTTCTAAGGTTCTACTAGAATTAATAGAAATGCTCAGATGGCAATCTGGAATTTATATTGTAACGCCCCAATTTAGCATACACACAGAATGGCTTATGCCTTCTCATTATTCTTTTATGAAAGACAATGTAGTATGTGAAAAAGATTTCTGAAGTACCATGCGGTTATTTAAAACTCAAGAATCACACCACTTGACCAAAGATGCCTATGGTATTTTATTAAGTACAAAAAGTCAAATTAGCCAGGCACCAGTGGCTCATGCCTATCATCCTAGCTACTCGAGAGGCTGAGATTTGAGGATCAGGGTTCAAAGCCAGTCCTGGAAGGAAAGTCCATGAGATTTTTATCTCCAGTGAACCACCAGAAAACTGAAAGTGGTGCTGTGGTTCAAATGGTAGAGTGCTAACCTTGAGCTAAAGGACAATGCCCAGGCCCAGAGGTCAAGCCCCATGACAAAAAAAAAAAAGTCAAATTATAAGCTGGGTATGGTGGTACAAACCTGTAATCCTAGCATTTGGTTGGCTAAGGTGGATGACCTTGTTCAAGGCTAGCCTAAGCAACTGTGTTTCTCAAAATATAAACATACAAAAACAACAAACACAAAAACAACCAATACACAAAACAACAAACACACAAAAACAACAAACACAAAACAACAAACACACAAAACCTCAAAAAACAAATCCTCCACAATTTGCCTTATCTACAGATAAAATAAAGAACACAGTAGTTTGAAAAACACAGATTACCAGATATGGACACATTTCTAAGTAAGGATAGATACAGTATCTGATGGCTAAGGACTCACTTAGGACCATCAATTTAAGTTCCCCCATCCCTATCTTGTACATTTACTTTTTTTTCTTCAGAATATAGAATAAGCTGAGTGCCTGTGGCTAAAACCTGCAGCCAGCCCAGGCAAAAAGTCTTCAAGATTCTATCTCCAATTAGCCAGAAAAATGCTGGACAAGAGTTGTGCTTCCGGTGGTAGAGATCTAGCCATGAACAAGCCAGCCAACTGTGAGCACAAGACCCCAAGTTCAAGCCTTCACACTGCCACACTGCCCCCCCCCCCACTCATTTCACTTGTGGGTATAACTGTAAAACTGGAATGGAACTTTTAAGTTCAACAGTGCATTTAAAAAGCCCACCATAGCTGGGCGCTGGTGGCTCACTCCTGTAATCCTAGCTACTCAGGAGGCTGAGATCTGAGGATAATGGTTCAAAGCCAGCCTGGGCAGGAAAAGTCTGTGAGACTCTTATCTCCAATAAACCACTAGAAAACCAGAAGTGGCACTGTGGCTCAAGTAGTAGAGTGCTCGCCTTGAGCTGAAGAGCACAGGGACAGCACCCAAGCCCAGAGTTCAAGCCCCACATTGACCAAAAAAAAAACAAAAAAAAGCCCACCATGACTAAAGAGAGACTTCTCAGAAAAATAAAAATGGCAAAGAAACACATGAGGAAATATTCATCATCCTTGGCCGTAAAGGAAATGCAAATAAAAACAACCCTGAGATACCACCTTACCCCAGTCAGAATGGCCCACATCCTAAATAAAGTCAGCCAACGACAAATTCTGGCAGAGATGTGGAGAAGAGGAACCCTGTTGCACTGCTGGTGGGAATGTAAACTAATACAACCACTCTGGAAAGCAGTCTGGAGGTTCCTGAGAAAGCTAAATATAGACCTTCCCTATGACACAGCCATACCACTTATAGGCATCTACCCTGAACAACAGGAACCAGTATACAAGGACACGTGCACCTCCATGTTCATTGCTGCACTATTCACAATAGCCAAGGTATGCAAACAACCCAGATGCCCCACTACAGATGAATGGATCCAAAAATGGTGGTACCTATATACAATGGAATATTATGCCGCCATTAGAAAGGACAAAATAAGGTCATTCGCGGGGAAATGGATGGAGCTAGAAGGAATCATGTTGAGGAGGTAAACCAAGATCAGAGAGACAAATGGCATATGGTCTCCCTGATATGTGGATGTTAAAGTCAAAATGCAAGGAGATATGACAAGTAAACAGGACTCAAGAAACAAAGGACCTCCACTCAATTTGTTTTATCACTTCTAAATGACTCCATGTTCTTGAACACATATTGGTATATATATGTGCACATCTGAAGGAAGCTAGGAGGAGGGCACAGAATCAGAAGGAAATGGGAAAGTATACAAAAGAGGGACTTATCAGCTGCACTGGACATTGATAAAAGTGAACTAAGCAACTCAAGTAATGGAAGGGAGGGAATATAAGAGAAAGAAGGAACAGCTTATACTAAGCCAAAGGAAAGAAGTATACATATCACCCGATTTGGAAAACATAGCTGTAGTGTCAAAGTTTGTACAGTTTATAATGACAGTGTACCTCCTGAAGGTTAAAATGTGTTTGTGACTTTAAGTATCACTATCCTACAATACTGTGAAATTTGTGAAATTTATATAATCACTTAATATCAATTAAAAAAGCAACTCTCGTGGGTGAAGACAGGAGGGAACAACTGGGAGAGAATGAGGGAACAGAAGACATGTACTCATTACCTGTTTCTTTCTTTTTTTGTTGGTCGTGGGGCTTGAACTCTGGGCCTGGGCGCTGTCCCTGAGCTCTTCAGTTCAAGGCTGGTGCTCTACCACTTGAGCCACAGCACCACTTCCGGTTTTCTGGTGTTTTTTTAAGAAATGAGAATCTCAGGGACTTTCCTGCCCAGGCTGGCTTTGAACTGCAATCCTCAGATCTCTGCCTCCTGAGTAGCTAGGATTACGGGTGTGAGCCACCGGCGCCCTGCTCGGATTCTTGTAATTATAATCCCTCTGTACATTACCTTTAAAATAACAGTAAAATAAAATTTTTTTTAAACGCCCACCATGAGTGGGTAGGGACTGGAAGAGGGAACTGAGGGAAAGTGAAAGAAGGAGTGACATTATCCCAAAAAGAAATGTACTCATTCCCTGACTTAGGAAATGGTAACCCCTCTGTATAACACCTTAATAATAACAACAAAATTCTATATTTTTTAAAAAAGCCCATCATACATGCCAGGTGCTTGTAGCTCACACCTGTAATCCTAACTACTCCAGAAGGCTGAGATCTGAGAATTGTGGCTCAAAGTCAGCCCTGACAGGAAAGTCTATCTGTTATCTCCAATTAACTACCAAAAAAACCGGAAGTGGCACTGTGGCTTAAGTGGCAGAGCCTAGTACTAGCCTTGAGCAAAAAAAGCTCAGGATAGCAGCAAAGCCCTGAAGTACAAGTCTCAGGAAGTCTCAGGAATGACACACACACACACACACACACACACACACACACACACACACACACACGAAGTCATACTACACCAGAAAAGCTGTCAGGAAGGATGTCCTGGGATGAAGCAAAGAGCCACTGCAGGGGCTGGGAAGGTGGCTCAGTGGTAGAGCCCTTGCCTTGTATGCATGAGGCCCTGGGTTTGATTTCTCAGCACCACATAAACAAAAAGAAAAAAAGCCAGAAGTGGCACTGTGGCTCAAGTGGTAGAGCGCTAGCCTTGAGCTGAAGAGCTGAGGGACAGCGCCCAGGCCCAGAGTTCAGGCCCCACGACCGGACCCCCCCAAAAAAAAGAGCCACTGCACAGTGTCTGAGCACTTGTAAGGACTACCAGGGAAGACAATCACACCAAGTAATTAACAACAAGGACGACTACAGTCCACCAGTGAAAGACAGTACAGAATCTTTTTAAAACAGTGCTCTTGTTGGGTGCTTGTGACACACACAAGTAATCCTACAAATCAGGAGAAATCTGAGGATCTCAGTTTGAAACCAGCCTGGCCAGGAAAGTACATGAGATTTTTCTTTTTTCTTTTGGTTGGCTGTGGGTCTTGAACTCTGGGCCTGGGCGCTGTCCCTCAGCTCTTCAGCTCAAGGCGAGAGCTCTACCACTTGAGCAACAGTGCCACTTCTGGTTTTCTGGTGGTGATTTGGAGAAAAGAGTTCTCACAGACTTTCCTGCCCACACTGGCTTTGAACTATGATCCTCAGATCTCAGCCTCCTGAGTAGCTAGAATTACAGGTGTGAGCCACCAGCACCTGGCCATGAGATTTTTGTTTTTGTCAGTTGTGGGGCCTGAACTTTGGGCCTGGGTACTGTCCCTCAGCTCTTTAGCTCAAGGCAAGCGCCCTACCACTTGAGCTACAGTGCCACTTCTGGCATTTTTCCGCTTATGTGGTGCTGAGGAATCAAACCCAGGGTCTCATACATGCAAGGCAAGCACTCTACCACTGAGCCAACTTCCTAGCCTCCCTGAGCTTTTTATCTCCAAATAACCACTGGAAGTAGCACTATGGCTCAAAGTGGCCGAGCACTAGACTAGAGCAAAAAAGATCAGGGACAGTGCCCAGGCCCTGAGTTCAGGCCCCAAAACTAAAACAAACAAAACAATTATGTTCTTCAGGGCTGGCATACTCCAGTAGTAGGGAATTCCAATGTGATAGGCAAGAAGGACATGTTTAGAGAAGGGAACCCATGACTTGCCACTGGGGTGTGGTCCTGAACAGCATCTGTGGTCCTGGCTGTCTGTGGGGTGCAGAGGCGGGACAGACAGGCAGACCCAATCCGCTGGGAGCCCAGTCTGCACCCCCTATGGTGGTGATGGATTCTACTGAAGGTGAGGCGGAAGACCTGCAGGGGGCCCGGCCGGCGTCTTTCACTCCTGTGCACCCATCGGGGCCCAGCGGCCTCCCAGAAGGAAGGACCTCTCCGGGGCTTTGTCTTGAGGCGGGGCCCCCCGGGAGGCCCCCACCCAGAACTCACCCGTGCAGTTTCTCTGTTCCACCAGCATCTGCTTGAGCTCGCTGAACTCACTGGAACCTTCTGTGGACTCTTCCAGGGCATTCTCCTGTTCCTGCATGTCCAGGTCGGGCTGCTCTCCGCAGGGGTCGCCCAGCTCCGAGTCCTGAAAGCCATGTTCCTCCACCTGTCCCATCAGGGGCTCTGGGGTCTCCAAACTCTCTGAGCCTTCATCGTTGGTCTGCACTTCTATCTTAATCACAATCCCATCATGTGCTGAGGAGATACAGGACACAGTCACACCACGCGCCCAAGGTCCCACCAAGAACTCACATCTCAACACTTCTTTTTAGAGCCCTGAAGAAATTTAATAGTTGATGGTGAGTGGACAGAATTTTCTGGATACTTTGTAGCTTGGATCCCAATGTATGGTATAATCAAGTTAAAAAGATGCTAAGTTTATTCTCCACAAGCCCCACGAGTGCTTTTTCTTCTTTTCTTGCTTTGGTGCTGGTCCTGAGACTTGAACTCAGGACCTGGGCTTTGTTCCTGAGCTTTCTTTGCTCAAGGCTAGCGTGCTACTACTTGAATCATAACCCCGCTGCCAGCTTCTTTGATGCTTAACTAGAAATAAGAGTTTACAAACTTTCTTGCCCAGCTGGCTTTGAACCGTGATCCTCAGATCTCAGCTTCCTGAGTAGCTAGGATTACAGGTGTGAGCCACCAGGATCTGGCCAATAATTTTCTTTTCCTTCTCCTTTTCTTTTCCTCACTTCCCACTTCACTGTTGGGACTGCTCAGGGTGGACCTGAGTCCTCCTCCATGCTTATGTGCTTATTCCTGACAATGCATATACATTGATATGATTTTATCTTTTGGCCATTACTGGCAATTAAAATAATGCTGCACATATGTTCCTCCTCTCATTCCTCCTTCAATTGGGCTGGAGACATGGCTCAAGTGGTAGAATATCGACCAAAAAGCTGAGGTCACATCCTTTAAGTGATGAATATTTACCACAGCGAGGATAGTATTATGATTCAGTCATTCCCGAATACATAAACATTGCAATAAACATGTTTTTATATTCCTAACTTCAAAACAGTGTTTCATTTCTAAGAGATTTTCAGTAGTGGGACTGAGTCAGAAGGCTAAGTATTTAAATTTTGGTGGCTGTTCCCAGCCTGCTTCCCAGTAAAGCAGTGACAAGTCATCTCTGCACCGGCCTGCAGAGAAAAGCTTCTCAAGCCCTGCCAGTGGCAGACATTCTGCTCTCCGTCAAATGTGGAGTGGCAACCTACTGAGTCTTTGACCTCATAGCAAGGCTGGGTGGATACGATTTCCTAGTCCTTCATTTCCTGTAACTGCACAGCCTATGTCCTGACTCAATTCCAATTAGGCTGTCTTATCAATTCTTTTTCCCAGGACGAGGACTCAAACTCGGTATCTGATGCTTTTACTTGTTGGCTGGCGCTCTACCATCTGCTCCATGTCTCCTGTCTTATCAATTTGTAAAAATTTGATTTTTTTTTTGGCTTGAACTCTGGGCCTGGGTGCTGTCCCTCAGCTCTTCAGCTCAAGGTGAGTGCTCTACCACTTGAGCCACAGCACCACTTCCTGCTTTTTCTGCTTATGTGGTGCTGAGGAATCGAACCCAGGGCCTCAGGCATGCAAGGCAAGCGCTTTGCCACTGAGCCACCTTCCCAGCCCCTATCCAAAGGTCTTTACTCTCTTATTATTTAGACTTTCATTTAGGCCTTCCTTCAAAACGCCTAAAATTTATTTTTATTTTGTATATGGTATGATGTGGGAGTTCAACTCATTTTCTTACCCATATGTCAGGATAAACCCCTTTATAAGTTGAAAACCATTGTTTTTTTAGTTAAGGAAATAATAAGTGTGAAATGTATAAGCAAATTATTCATTCATTCACTGAATGCTTATTCACAGGTATTTACTAAGCACCAGCTCTGTGCCACTCAGTGTTTTCAGAGCTTAGGGATTTATCAGTGGACAAACATATGTGAACGACAAACACAGTTAATAGCTCGTGCTGTATGTCAGAGGGTGCTCAGTACTGGGGCGGGAAGAAGGGGGACCAGGAAATGAAGGAAGGAAGCAGACACAGCCTGCCGTGTAAAGCCTCGTGCTCCCTGCCTTGTCTACTATTTCTCAGTCTAATGTGGATCACATCACTGAGAAGCCACACCAGCTCACTAAGCTGAAAGTCAAACCCTATGTGCAGAAGCAGGTTCTTTCTGATGCCTGGCGATTCTTTCATTCCACCCTGAGCAGCTCATGTCCCACAGCCTTCAGGTCGACCTATACTACTAGCTTCCAGAATTAGGGAGTCGCCACCCATTCCCCAAAGTTACTTGTATTTGATTCACTGGTTACAAAAAAAGTGGGACACCAGTGGCGCACACTTGTAATGCTAGCTACTGAGGATCTAAGTTCTAGGTCAGCCCAGGCAGCCAAGTCTGTGAGATCTCCAATTAACCAGCCAAAAGCCAGAAGTGGAGCTGTGGCTAAGTGGTAGAGCGCTAGCCTTGAGCTGAAGAGCTGAGGGACAGGGCCCAGGCCCAGAGTTCAGATCCCACAACCGACCAAAAAATAATAATAGTAAAGAGCAATGACCTTGGCCGCTCCCCTTGTTTCCTGCCTTGCTCTGTGATCTTTCCCGCTCTGCCTGCACGATGCCAACGGCCAAAGTGTGCAGCAGAGCCCTCACAGGAGCCACGCAGGTGCTCGTGCCAAAGCTGTGACCTAGGAAACTTATTTTCGGTATAAAGTACCACACTTCAGATATTCTGCTATAACAACATATAACGGACTAATACCCATCCCATCCCTTTCCTCCTTTGGTCTTGCCACATCTCTCTCTGGAAATCTTCAAAAGCATGACTTCCCTGATGTCATAAACTCCTGAAAACATTAACTTACCTACCCACCCACTCCGTAAAATAACTTTCAAAACTATGCACCCCTTTGCATCTTTTTCAGTAAATATACAAAATGGACCAGTTACTGCAAAAGATATATTTTTTGGAACATTATAAATATTGATATTTTAAAATAAATTCTTCCCTTATCCCTTAATGTCATCAATGGAATCTAAAGCTATTTTAAACCCAACATTACTCACTTAAAAAACACAGGAACAAGTCCTTCTTTGATAGCTGGAATTTCTCTATCATTCCTGTTCACCTTGAACTTCTGTTTCCATTCCCACTTTGCCCACGGAATTTATCCTAATAGAACATATTTTTATGCTTAGACGCTCTTGACTAATCACCTCATCTGCCACAAAAATGTGCATGTAAATTGAGAGTTCAACTTCGCTTTCATTTCTAATAACCACGAGGCTGTACATGTTAATTTTTTTCTGGCTGAAGTTATCCTTAGTGATTATGACTACAGAATGATCATTACCCGAGGTGAAAAACAAAGTTTTGGAAAAATTTGTTAATGTTCTCTCTTGTAAGGATGAATAGGACTTTTTTCCCCCAATTAGTTCACTTATCTGAGGATGAACACATACCTGTGTACAGTAAGAGTTGCAAATCGATTCTATTCTATTCTTCATTTGTATAAAGGCAAGCCTGTGGAAGCTCACACAGATGGCAGGAGCAGGAAGGGGCTCTGCTACAGAACTGTCACTCGGTTCTTTGAACCTACTCTGAATTATGTGTCACAAAACTTATATAGTTAACGTATTATCAGGAATTGTTCTTAAGAGCCTATTCACTAACAATTAGGTTATCTTTCAGTGTTGTTGAAAGCAAAATGCTGCAAACAACTTAATAGATGTTACCACTCAGGCCCCAGAGTGATACTCTAACATCTGGATTATCTGTGTGGTGGCTCGGAGGCCTTACACCTCACAAAGGTTTCAGGGAGGGACTGGTGGGGAGAAATAGAAGATGAGGACCTGCATCTCAGGGACCACGCATGTTGCACGCTCTTCGCTGGTGAGAACAGAAGAGCCTGGAGATGGAAGCCACACAGCGATTAACCTCCTGTCCTTCTTAGAGTCTCCTGAGCCCCAGGCCCGAGGGGCTTAACTTCAAGTCCAGTGCTGGCCACCACCTGCCCTATTCAAGGCCACTCAGTTGCCCTGCTCCTCCAAATGTCTCACCAAGCTCTCACCAGAAGGGCTCTTCTTTAGGGCCCGCGCTCCCCTAGAAACACGTAGCACTTACTTTTCCATACTCCTCCACATGGGACAGGACACCAAAAGGCCTCCCACCCCAAACACTGTTTTCCCTCCCTTCCTCACCCTTATCTTCTCCTCTCTGTCCACTTCTTTTTTATTTTGCAGTGCTGGGGACTGAATCTAAGGCCTGGGAATGCTAGGCAAGCATTCTACCACAGAGCTACATTCCCAACCCACCAAACAACTTTTGAAAGGGTCTCAACCCTGGGTGCTGGTGGCTTAAACCTGTAATCCTAGCTAGTCAGGAGGCTGAGATCTAGGGTTGTGGTTTGAAGCCAGCCTAGACAGGAAAGTCTGTGCAATTCTTATCTCCAATAAAGAACACACATGGGGCTGGGAAGGTAGCTCAGTGGTAGAGTGCTTGCCTTGCATATATGAGGCCCTGGGTTCAATTCCTCAGTACCACATAAGCAGAAAGAACCAGAAGTGGTGCTGTGGTTCAAGTGGTAGAACGTTAGCCTTGAGCTGAAAAGCTGAGGGACAGCGCCCAGGCCCAGAGTTCAGGCCCCACCACTGACTGGAAGAAAAAAAAACAATAAAGCACACACAAAAAAACAGAAGTGAAGCTGTGGCTCAAGTGGTACAGTGCCAACCTTTAGTGAAAAAGCTCAGGGACAGCACCCAGGCTGAGTTCAATCTCCAGGATCGAAACACACACACATAGACACAGACACACACAGACATACAGACACACAGATACACACAATGTGGTATTAACAACCACATTACATTTATAAACATTTACGATAAAAAAATTAGTCATAGACATGTATTGTGGAATATTATTTGAATAAGTATTCTTACATTTAAAGCCAGCAAGGGGAGGGAGATAATTTTTATATTTGTTGTTATTTACTTTTAAGACAGGGTTTTGCTATATATCCTAGGCTGCCCTTAAACTCAGAATTCTCCTGCTTTAGTTTACCAAGTGCTGGGATGACAGGCGTATACTACTATTTCCTGAAAGAGCCTTAAATAAATGCAATGTGGAAAACTTAAAGGGGCAAAAACTCTAACTTCATGTATCTCATCCTAAGCATAAATAATGAAGTCATGCTAG